AATGTAATTAAAGAATAAATATAAAAATATAAACTCATTCCACACATGAATCCATCCTAACCGCACGAGTCCACCCAATAATAGAAGGAGATGGACCCTTTTTCTTGAGCTAAACAATTTTTATTTTTACCAGAGTTTTCATTTCTACATGATTTTCTGGTGCGAAAGGATCTTTCCTAAAGGCCGAAATTATTAATAATCCTGCAGGAGATTCACTGATCAGTTGAAGAAGAGAGTGAGATTATTGCTCATCCTGAGGAATTCGACATGATGATCTGGTTGCATTATTCCTTTTCTTTGCCACTACTCACATGATTGGAAACCAAAGTCATAATCATCATCAAAACAATGAGGGCTGCAAAACAAGTGGAGACCATGAACAAGGTACTCGAGTTATGCTCGTCAGGAACTCCAAAAAGTTGAAAAGTGTGTGTGGTCATATATTACGATAACACGTATTTATATGAGTTATATATTCCGCCGACCTCATTTGTGCGGACCATGCTTTACATGTACTTCGTTGGGCATCTCTCCTTCAGAAATTGGATTGGAATCAGTGATTTCTTTTCTGCCTTCATCTTTTTAATGACTCCCTTCTAGCCCCTTGTTTACTGCTGCTTGCTGCCCTGTAATATGGCTCATAACTGACCATGAGAAGTTTGAGGTACTTATTCGGCAGTGAGTTCAAAGATGAGCCCGTCCTTCTCACTTCTTTGTAGACCGGAAGCAATCTTTCTTCTCTTGGAATTTTCGAAATGCATGTGTGTGAGACTTGCTAGTTGTACATACATGCATCCTCCGTATGTATGTACCGTGTATGTTTCCACACCCCATAATAAAATTCTCCAGTCTCCATCCAACAAATCCGTAAATCATCCCTCTCACTGTTTACGGCCTGTTAAGTATTGTACGTAGTTGTTGTTCTTGTATTAGCATCAAGTGGATGGAATTGGACCACAATTTTGGTCGCGGTGCGATGGGATGGTTCAACTTGTTTGTGGAGCATTGTTTCTCGGGACAATTATCCAATTCAATTTTAATACTGACTAATTTTCTTATTTCGTACAAGCCTTCATTACTGCCCTCCGTGGCTTGTTCTTTGCAATTGCGAGAAATTCCTACCAACGCCTACCTTGTGTGTAACCACTGTCATTACCGGGAACAAAAAAATGCGCCAAGTCTCCCATTGTCGTCGCGTCTTGCGGAACTTGTTCTCAAAGGATGCGAAGGTTACATGCTTCAAAGTTTTGTGAAGGAACGAACAAAAACTTTTTGGTTGAGCTTCTCTTCAGTTTTTAAATGATTTAGAAATTTCATACATTTCATTTAGTCACTTCATTATATTAACGCATATTATGAAACTGCAAGGTTTGGAAGATCTCCACTAAAAGTGGTGGATGTTGACAAGAAGATAGAGCCTGCAGAAATCTTTCCAGGAACCAAATAGTACTATTTACATGTTATACGCTGAATAAATGTCTGAAATTAAGTTGACCACTAAAGTGAACCACAAGGAATTCATATTGCGTTTTAGGTTAGATTTGCTTGTAATTATCATTAAGAGGACAGAGTTCCTTAGGTATTTATTCTTGTTTTACTCCCATATACCACACTGATCCTGCATACATACAGAATTTGATTGGTTGTCTTTGCTCGGTTGGAATGAAGATGAAATCTTTTACTTTATTTCATTTTATGAGAAAAATGCCTTTGTTTGGGGTTGAAACGCACCAGTCATAAAATGATCTGACATTTGACTCTGGCCAAAAAGGATAAATGGAAGCCTCACAGTCACTCGGTCTGGGGCTTCTAAAAGTTTTGATTTTCTCCGGGGTGCTGGGTAATACACCTGCTGAGAGATGCGCTGCTGCTCCCCTGATTCAAATATTAATAATGCGATGCAACATTTTACTCCATCCGTGACTCCATGACCCGAAGAGAAAGGGAGAGAAGTACATACAATACGGGAGTGAGTTCTTTACGAGAATTCACAAATGTCTTACAAATTTCAAACGTGGGGTTATCCTTAGTATTCTGAGAAACTGTATACAACAAAACACGCAAATTGTTACTTTTGCACTAGAGTCAACTCGTACTTGTACTCGTACTTAGAGGACATCAACATGGCGAAATGCTCGTCGCATCGATTTTCTCCAATTTTTGATACACCGATCTCCATAAATAAATTGGTATCGGCGGAAAGGTCGGCGAGGGGATTCAAAATGTTTGCGTATACTTTGTTTGTGTTTTAAACTCTGAAGAATTGAAGAATGACAACCCAACACATTCTTCAGCTTCCAGCAGATCAGTAAGTGGTCCTAGACCCAACAAAGTATGTATATTTTGAAGTGTAATTTAGCTATTGTTCTATTGGTAAAGATCTGCAACATATATGTACAAAATTTGCAGAATTAAACCGACGAGCATTTTGCCATGTTGGGTGTGCAATGTCAATTATATAAATTTTAAATTATAAGAGAATATTGCATACAAGATTTCTACACAAATCAGGCCACAACTTGCTGCCAGAGTAAGACGAGATGGGTCCAAAAAAGTAAAAGTAAGAGTCGATATCCTGGAACGATGACCTTAATGCTCAACTGTTAAAAGGGTCAGCAATATATTCATAGACGAATGAATAGTTGTCTAAATTTTAATGTAAATTGATTTCATGTTCATACAAAGTTTCGGATCGTTTGGAAATCGATTATATTTACCCTTGTGTCCACACCTCACTTGGTGGTTTGTGTTATTTGTGTAGGTTATTTAGACCCAGTGGAATTCTTACCTCTGGGATTCTTCTTGACTCTTCTGCTTAAGGATAAATGGATAAAAATGATTCGTTTCATGGCTGCAGAAGGGTTGCTGGTTGTTTGAATCAGTGAGACGAGGAAATAATTTAAAAGCAAACAAATGGTTAAATTAAGATTCAAATCAATTTTGGGTTGTGTAGAGTGCACTCATAATCGCCTTTGAACGTGGATATCAGCGTGTTGGTTACATTTAACCGAATCATTTATAAAGTTAATAAATGATTTAATCCGGAGAGGAGAAAAATTAAATGGCTTTCAATTACTTAACTGTTAAATTTTGACAAGGCAGCAACCGTGAAAATCAATTTTCACTTTGTTTAGCTTCTCAAAGCAGAGTTGGAGCATGTCAAAAAATCACCACCAGTTTTGTGGTAAGTTTTATAAAAATTTACATTGAACAACATTTTCATTTTATGACATGAATTAAATTTATCCCAAAAGCAACCAAAACTCATTCCATTTAGACAACAGAAACCGTGTAATTTTATGAAATGCGTAAAAAAAATTGTAGCAACAACTTCGTATAATCATTTCCCAAGGCCGAATGGACACTTACATAGATCAGAATAATAAGGAAACTAATTTATCCTAGAAAAAGACTCAATGAGAATTGTGGTAGTTTCAGTCCAAGTAAATTCTTTCGTACTTTCCACAGTTTTCTTATTCCATCCATTTCCCTCTCTCTCTCTCTCTCGTAATAAGAGAAGAGCAACTAACGATAAGGACGAAGGAATGAAAGATGAGATTTGATTTGAGAGAGTAATGCCCAAGTAACGCTTTTTCCTCCAGAGATTCATTCATAAATTCCCTATCTGGCTTTTTATAACCAAAGCACCGACCTCAGCCAACGAGTTATTCCATCCATATCAGATAATGCATGGATATTTTTACATAGATTTTACCTACGTCTTCTCCTGCTCGAGATGGATAATAATAATCCCGGACTTACTTATTCCACGAGGAGCTTCTTCTTCCTCCAAATGAACCTTCATCTGCTTCACCTGTGTTATTACCTCATAAATGGGATTGAGATGAGGATAAGGTGAGGAGGAAGGGTTGTGAAGGAAGAGTCGTTAAATAATCTTAGGCGGGTGGACTGAGGACGTGTTTCTTGCTCCGTTCTCTGAATGGAATTCCAATCAAAGTTTTGGTAAAAAATCAAGGTAAACAAGGACTTGGGGTGAACTCTGTGCTAACCCTTTTCCTTCTTCCTCATCTTCTAAGACAATATTTTATCTGGAATCATGCCATGCACTTTGACTTCAGAGCAGCCTCCTTTGATCTCCAATTTACAGGGAGTTGGAAGGGTAGGAAACCAGCTTCTTGTTTTTTTTTATTTATTTATTTTTCTCCTCAATCTAAATACATGAATGGTGGCGAAATAAGCATATAATGCACTTGTTTTTAGATGTGAGATGAAATAAAACTAATAATAAAACTCAAGAATGAAGTGAATGGAGATGAGCAAACAGAAAACGATGAGATTCAAAGATGACCGATTCTACTGGTCTTTGTTGGTTGAATATTAAACAAAGGAGTGGTGGGTTTCTAGCTTTATTTGACTATCAAACTGGGTTTACATACTTACCATATATATGATTTACTAATATCGGTATTAAGAAATCTCTGCATATAATGGATCCTCGACCAAATTGACAAGAAGTATTTCTCTCAAATACACTAATTGTTAGTTCAGAAAAAGTTATAACAAGATGAGATCGTTAAATTTTGTGTGTTAAGACCCCACAGTAGAGTGAATTACACCACCCACTTCGGTTGCAATTATTTCAGAAAGTGTAATAAGTGGGAATTTGGTGACAAAACTCTAAATTTTGGTGATTCTGCTGACTTTCCAGTACTGCTCATACTCGCACACTTATGGCCAAAATTGTTCAGCAAAATATGAGATCCTACCGTCAAAACAATGACAAGTACGAATGTGATGGCACTACTGTGTCGTACGAAATAACTTTACTTAGGTGGCATAATGGACCTCATATCTGCATTGCCTTCAATACTTTCCAAAGTCGCATTTCTGTACTTGCCCCATCTATTATTTTATGTTTCTGAGGTCAAAATTGGATCACATCTCACTACTTGACACATATGGGCCCATAGACCGACTATACACCCTACAGAAATGTATAGTAATTCCAAATAACAATCATTACAAGCTCAAAGTCTCACTCAAGTAAACAGATTACTTTAAATTATTCAAATTCATTTGGGGCCTTAAGTACAATACTTGTAAATATACCAATAATTAATTACAATAATTGCTATTTCAACTACTACAAAATTTTGGCCCAATTTTTTCGACAAAGTACAACCATTTCTCAAATTATCTCCAGATTTGACAGAATTTTTATTGGATCCCTTTTCACCACGACCAACTTTACTAAGTATCCCCTCCCTAAAGTCGTCACCCACCCTGCGGAGGCAGGGGAAGAGTCCACCGGCTTGCATTGTACGGCAACCTCTGATATATTTCAGAATCGATCCATGATCGGAACTTGGGGACATTGGTGTAAACTCCCGGGACGGCATAAGTTCCGCATTTTATCTGCGATTTATTTAATTAAACTTTATAAAATTCTGCTAACAATTTATAATTCTGATCTCTGGTAAATATATAAAAATATCAGTACCCCCCATGAGGTGATTCCAACGAGAATGTAACGCCAAGGGTCATACAAACTGGGACAAACGAGGGGACCCCCTCCATCTCCAATGCAAGTGTCCAGTCCCTTCTGTCCCCCTGCGCAGATGAAACTCGAGTGGAGGTTAAAGTTCGGTCCGAGGTTTGTTTTACGAAGGGCGCTTTGGCAAGCGTCGTTGGGTGTGATGGCAAGTTCGACTTCGCGCATGATGGCTTGATACTGTCCAGTGGGGCCTTGACAAATAAAATCATATGTAGCCAATCATATAGATGTAATCTGTGGCTTATTCAATTTCGTGTGTCTGCGTGTGTGCCAAGATTGTTAAACGACAGGGCGATAAAGTATCCTCTTGTACACATGTACATAATATGTATCATGAAGAAAGTTAGGCAGTGCAATCTCGTTACCAGTTTCAAATTGAGATATTGAGACGTTGCACTTCTTATTCAAGAAGTAAATCATCGCGCTAACTGCCTAATTGACTATTGGCAAGAGTGGATGAGAACTTGATTAGCGTTTACAATGGATTCGTGATCGGCTCGACATTTGATTCAATTATGAAACAACGTGACTTGATCATCCTCTCGGTACTTGAGAAGATCAAGATCTTTTCACTCACATTACATATTGCTCGCACTTATCCAAGCTCACACTGAATAAATGTTGGGGGAGGAGTTGATGGTGGTCGTGGTGGCGAGAAACACTTACCGAACGCATTTTTACCCCAACCGGTTGCCCAGCAAGAGGACGGGTCGTACTCAGTTAACGAGGGGCTCTGTGAACGGGGTAAGCAAATCGTGTCGATGTGAGGTGCCAGAATTGAAGAAGTCCGGAGGAAAAGTAGGGCAATATCATTGTACAATCCACCACTGTAGAATTCTGGATGAATCACCATATCCGTAACTTTTTTGTCCTGTGAGATAATAGGCATGTTAAGCAAATTCCAGCATATCATGTTCACACAGGTTTCGGGATAATTTGCTCAATGAGCATACAAAAAGAGTAGTAAATGTTATATCTGACCTGATAGGGATAGAACTCATTGGTCGACTGTGTGTCCCATTCTCCCAGCCGTATGATGAGATTTGACACACGTTTTCTGTCAATGGAAACAACGAGTGGTGGTAAATAATTCGAGAATGTGCTCTCAAGTATGTACGAAAACAAATAAAAAAGAGATAAACAATGGGAATTATAGACACACAGATTGCAGCCAAGTTTTCAATTTCCTTGGGAAACGCCTCCAAGGAGGAATACATTTCGGAGATTTACATTTCAATAAGCAATAAAAGGCAAAAGGGCCAATTCTTGAAACAGCCGACAAAAGTTGCTGGGTATAATGTTGAATATGCCGTGAACAAATTTGCAACACCAATTTAATGTCACGCACGAATGAGCCTTTGCTATTTTTATGTGCCATATATTTTATCACTTTTTCTCCAGAGAGAGTGATGCTTACATACTTCTTGTCCAAATTGCCTGTATATTTGCGAGTGTGGCAATGTTGTGGCGACTGAGAAAAGTTTTAGTCAATCATTTTCATGACAAAACTTTACTCATAAATTTGCCATTCATTCTCGTACTTACATACTCGATGAAACTTGAAACAATTGAATGTGCGACTTATCGTATGCGGATTGGAATGGGGAACATAAATTTGGTCAACTTATTAATGTTAGTCTAGACTTTGGCTGGAGAGAGAGACCACCGCACCAGCCACCAATATATTACTTTCTGACCATTATTACTTTCTTCGAAGAGTAATAACAACACCTTTAAGTTTCGATCACCATTTCAACTATTGTTACGCCATTAAACATTTATCATTTTAATGGTCATTACTCACTTTAAAAAATTACCGTGACTAATCCAGCATGTCAAAGACACTCATTCATTTCATTCATATTAGTTAAAAATGGAAACGAGTCCTCCTGGTAGCATATTCACACGTGTACATCAGCATTATGTAAGATCATACACACCCAATTCAAAAATATGCATGCAATTTCAGCAGACTTGATGGTGGTGTCAAGTCGGAATTTAAAGTCTGATGAGAAAAAACAATTGGAATTTTGATCATGGTGGAATTCCAATGATGATAAAAGCAATGTACCCTTTGACGCAGTGTGCCGCACTCAGAACGACCTGTGGTGTAATTAAAGATGCTCCGCACAAAAATTGCAAAACCCATTTTCCTCGTATGAACTTTGACTCGAGGATAGCAGCCATCCACGGGTATTCGCCAAACTGAGACTCGGAATCCTGAAATACAAGATATTTTGCAAAGTGATTAATAATTTGTTAAATTAGAAGTTATTCTGCACAAAACAACATTTTTGCACGTGCAATCTCATTCTAACTAGATTTGACTTCAAGGTGTTCGTCTGCAATCCAATCATGTGAATCAGAAAAACAAAAGCAGAGTTTTAGTGTGATTATGGCTCTTTTTCTACTGCAAATTGACCAATTTCGCATGACTGATGTAGCCGAGTCGATTAAAGTGAAGGGAAGGGAATGCAATCAAAGTACCTGGATTCAAGTGCCACACACACACGTTTCATGCTGTAGTTTACGATATTGATATTGGAATGTTGAACGCCAGTTTTACGTACTTGCTGGCTTGCTAAACTCTGTGCTAAATTCCTCACATTTTTACAAACTTCCAATAACTCGGGTAGGTATAAGGTATCAATAAGGTGGGGGGTATGAATAAGGTACTTTTTTACTCCTTATATCATGACATGACATATCCACATCTCTTTATTTATGCCACCACTGCCACTAGTCAGTCAGTAGTAAAAGGATGAATTAACAAGTACAAAAACCAGTCAAGTATACCAACATTCCATAATAGTCATCCTTCTGTTATGTTATGTTTATCTCAGTTTTGAGTTGTAAAGGAAACAACAAGCTAAGCAAAGGTGTGAAACTATCCAACGCAAATATTGATTTCACATTCCGACTTCTTTTTTTTCTGCAAATATTATTGTTGTATGAAGAGAAGATGATGTGCAGGAGGTTGCACAGGTTGCAAGTATGTGAGAGATTTGGCATTTATCACACTCGATGCTTTGCGCTTTAACCAACCGAAAGTGAGTATGACATAACTCGTGAGATTGACAAAATCATTACCACACACGCAAATAAATTCATCATTAATTGCCCGGCTCAATTTCCCCTTCGGGTTACATACTTATTCCTTGGATTAAGTTGAATGAAAAGAGTTGCCATTAAACGAAATGCAGTTCATCTTCTGTAAGTGAGTTATGCGAGGAATGCTAATGTTTTTAATTCGAATAACGCCCTGATTGAAGATGAGTATACTTTGATTCTGATAATATGTAACATCTCTCTTTCTTCAAAATATCGTATCGTCTGTATGTACATATGTCGAGCAATACACCAGTTTTACTCAATTATTGCCCAGCATTCCTACCATTTCTCCCGAGCCTCAACAAGTCTGATGAGTTTCATCGTGATAAAGATCTTAATCTCTAACTGGGGCTATGGGTTCGCAATTTTTAATTATAATTTATGCGCTTCTTTCTACTAGTTTTTATCAACTACAAAGTCACAAGTACCCGCTGGGAAAAACATGCAATAATTTACTGGAGTCACCACCACTATAATTCTATCCAAACACAAATAGCTGGCCTCTCTGCTCCTTGTATTGTTTCTGTCTTAATCTATGCATGACGAGAATGAAACCTGACTTCTATAAGACCCGATCTCTCCTCCGAGTCTGCTCCTGAACTAATTGAACCTGTCAGGCTTTTGACTAACACAAAAGTCAAAAGAAACAACAAATTGCGTCACCAACCATCACGCCGATCAAGCGACCCAAATCCCCAGCGGGGGTTCGCTTTCTTATAATTCTTCGCATTGATGACATGACGATAATCTGTCAAATAATCTGGTATAATAATAAGCTACACAGTCTCAATATTTTTTAATTGCTGGCAAATCCTCAGAGATGAGATATGTGTGGAGTCCAGACTAAATAAATCGCTTATCACTTTTCATCTCTTTCCCCCATCATAAATAAAATGAGTATCGTCTCATCTCAGCAGCAGCAGCTTCACTCACTCGTCTCATACATACATAATAAGTGACCAAGTTGAAGTTGAAGAAAAGTTGAGATTTCACGTATGTATGTAGATTCACCATAGGATTTGAAATTTTGATCTGATTTTTGAACGCAAGATGAGATTTACTGCTTATTTAATTTATTTGGTCCCATAAACTTCATCCCCTGCTATCTACTTCTTGATGAAGTCCAGTTACAAATGCAGATTATTCTGCTCATGCATCATATCAGTGTCAATTAATGTCTCAAGTTTAATCTCACCTTAAATCCGAGGATGCGGGCATTAACTCCGTTCGGATTGAGGGTGCCACATTGTGGGGTGAAGCCTGGTTGGGCGGTGATGGGTGGGGACGTGGGGACCGGTGTGGGATAAGGTGGTGGAATTGTGGGCACAGTGGGCACGGTGGGCCTTGGATTTCGACAGCAAACTTCGAGAACAGAGTTGCAACCCCATCCATGACGAATATCAATTATCGTAACGACCTAAATTAAGTAGGTATGTTAATAAAATGGGTTATGACATATTTTTTTGGGGTGAACGACCTCATTTCCTCATCGTCAGTAAGTGATTACCTGTCCCTCGTCGCACAAATAGTACGGCACGCAAATACAAGCGCCGCCCGCAGAGGTTGACGTTGACGGATACGGTGACGTGGTCCAGCGGTCTCCAAATGTATAGTAGCCGCGACCCTCTGCTCCGTCGCCCACTAATCAGGAGGAAGAAGAACATCATACATTCCGAAATGTTTCTTGGAAATCAAAGACAATGTATAATTTGCAAATTGTTTACAATTATCGAAACTTTGTAAGCTAAATGTTCTATTTGGAATAATGGGGAACCCTTTTGTTCCACAAAAAATAACAACTCATCAAACAAATCATTGGAGTATGCAGTGTTATTGGAGTGAAACAGGAGAGATTATTATTTCGATCATCGCGTGCAGAGAAAAATTGCTCTCTTTAAAATTAAAACCCATACTTTTAAGATTTGAAGGTAAACCCAACCAAAAATCTGGTCGAAGTTTTTATGTGAAAATTAGTTGATTTAAGTAGAACAAGTTCTTGATAAATATTTGCCCACTAGTTCTCATGCAATTGTTGGTCTGGCTGGATGTCTCTGATACTTATACGAACAGAGGTAACATAAGGGTCCCAACCTCCTACCTGCAAACACTAATACATAAAATTCTACGTGGGTAAAAAAATGGGATCGTTTTCATATCATAAAGAACGTCCGGGAATGAATGGGAATGGTCTGAAAATGTGGTCATAAAATCACAATGAGTTATCGGAATTTTAAACTTTTTGCATATGTATAATACCAAATACGTACCTACATAATTTAATTAATAGCTAAGGCCGCCACACCCCCGTTGGCGACTAGTTCGATTTTCTTGCGAAGATTTTTCATTAAATTTTTTCCCGAAGTTTTTGCCACTTCCGAGGTGATTTTCTTCCATCGTCCTTTGAATTTTCGAAAGGTGTCAGGCACATCTTGAAGCCGGGAGTATACTGACTTAGAACGTGCCCAGAATTTTTCGATTGGGCGGAGTTGGGGTACATTAGGTGGGTTGATATCTTTTGGTACGAAATCAATATTTTTCTTTCTGAGGTACTCGGTCACTTTCTTTGCATAGTGACAAGTGGCGAGGTCAGGCCAAAACAAAACTTTATCATTTTTGTGAAACCTATTAATAAATGCTTCCAATCCAGCCTTGACGCAATTTTTCAGATAAATATCTTGATTGATATTCCCTTCGAGAACTACCGGGTCTGATACATGTCCGTGACTGGAGATGCATTGCCAAATGCAATATTTCTTTGGAAATTTGTCTTTTTTTCGTACTTTTTCTTCATAAGCCACTTCAGAGGGATCCGAGCTATGAAAAAAATGACGCCCTGGAAGATTTGAAGGGTCAACCGGAACATACGTTTCGTCATCCAGGATCACTACTTTTCCACGCATTTTCTTCAACAATTTTTGACAGCAATCCTTGATCCGACTTTCTTGTACGGGCTTGTAATTTGGTGCAGGTTTTTTGGTCCTTGCTTTGATTCCTAATTTATGGACCTTAATTTCCCCCAGGTAGCTTTTGGAAATTTTGACTTTCCTGGCAGCTACAGCTACTGACGTTGATGGCTTGGTTTTGAAAATTTTTTCAATTCTATTTTTCACTCGAGTGGTCGCTAGCTTCGCCGGACGACCAGCTGGCTTCTTGAATTGCACATTTTCGGAATCCTTGAACTTTTTTATGTAGGAATACACATTTGAACTTGGAATTCCTTCCTGCTTAAAAAAGTTCCAGGTCACCTTGGAGTCTCGGTTGGCTGTCGTGTTGTAGAACTCCATCACTCGTTTTGCTAACAGCTCCCTTTCAAACAAGCTTCTTCTACCCTTATCCATTTTTGAAATTTAAGAGTGATATACCAAATTGACCCTAATGAAGTGGGCTTTCAGAAATTTAAATTATTATAGTTCGCGGGTTTATTGATTTGTCAATATACTCGCTAGAGCGCGCATTCCCATTCATTCCCGGACGTTCTTTATTTTCAAAAGTTATTACCAATTTGCTACCATGCTGAATTTTATTATTATTTTTATAAAGAGATCAGATTTTGTGTTGCGATTAGCCTGCTTTTGTATTTTATTGCAATTTCCATGCAATAAAATAATTTCACCGTGTTACAAACACAAAGTGGTGGACGGATTCATAATTAGAGGAATGCCGACGATATTTGCAAGTAGCAAAAAACTATAAAAAATGGTTCCAAACATAAAATTTATTAGATTTAGCTCCGCATATCATCATTCCGTCTACTTCTGTCCATGGGTTGCCCATCAAATAAAATATTATTTTGTCATAAATTTTAAAACAACATATGTAACTTTGAGTTGATAGCTTGATGCTCGGTGTGTGGAACCAGTTGGTGCTCGTTACTACAATGCAACCTTATGCAAATTCTTTCACTTTTAATTAGCATGGATCACTAATGAGTCCATTTTTGTTGAACAAATGACCAAACTAACTTGTACAGCTAATAAAATTTATAAATTTACATTAGCTGAGGAACGGTTTTAAAAGTAAATTATGAGATCGAAAGGATCAGAAATTGACATTAATTGCCTCGTTGTTTTTCAAAGGTTATGCAAATTCAATTAAGTACGCATACATACATAAAAGAAGAATAAAATGGTGGAGTATGTAGTAAAATAAAACCACTTTTCTCATAATCTTCCTGGGAGTTCGCATTGATATATTTTGCATCGAATGACACATGTTGATTATTCTGATTCTGTCTAAACCAATGTGACATTAACATTTTAACGCCCTTTTACTGCATAATATTCACTTACCTGCCTGCGCCCCACCACCCTCGTCCTGGTCGACACCCTTCGTCTCATTCTTCTCCTCTGATGACGGCCCTTCCGTAGATTCCTTCCACACCCACCCGGACGACCGAGCCTGGCGCCCACCGTCGCTGCCCCCTCCAATTAGCGAAGGAGTGGCAGCAGATGATAAGTCAGCTTGGCCTATTTGCTCAAGTAAAATGGGCAAACTCTTCGGAGGCGAGCCATCCCGTACTTCTTCAGTGGATGGCTTATTTAGATTTACATTTATGCTGGTACTCGTTCCTGTTGTTGAAGTGGTAGTGTTGCTGGTGGTGTTAATAATGCTGTTAATCTCCTTCTTGTTTCTCGTGGTGGTGATTGCCCCACAAGACGAAATAACGAGAAGCAACATTGCCACTTGTAGAATTTGCTGGTGATGGTGTGGGAAAAGTTTGGAGAGAAGAAGATGAGGGCCCATTTTTCTACTTTTTTTGTGACCACGTGAAATGTCTCAGGGCTCAAGTCGTCTCAACTTTATATGGACAAGGTTCGAATTCCAATGATATTCGCTGTCATGTAAATGTAGCAGCAGCAGCAGGATTGAAGGGAGGATTTGGATTATGCAATTTAGTTTTTGCCTCAATATTAAACAAGCGTAAGAACAAGTTCATTCCAAAGTACGAATCACATTGCAACTGAATGGACCGGATTCCAAAAATTTTCTGAGATAGTTATTCTAATGCTGTCAGAATTTGATTTTTATTCGCTGATAGCCCAGGTACTTTGAAAAGACAGGAAAAAGGAGTACAGTTAGTGAGAACTGAGCAGGTTGGTCACATTCCGAAGGAGTTTGGGGTTTATTGCTAATTTTAATACTGGAACTTTTATGTGAGGGAAGAAGTTGTTGTTGACTGGAAGGGAAGTTCGGGAGGAATCTGGTGGAATTTGCGGAAACAGTCTCAATTTATACAAGAGAGAGGATTCACTTTTTGGGGTCAGAGAAATACAGGAATCGATTAATACACGAAATAGTTCGATCGCCTGATTTGATCGTGTGAGGAAATGATAACCAAAAACAGTATCAACTGGACGGAAGGCCATATCCCCTTACACGACCGGGGTGGTGAGTAAGTGGAAAGTTGCATTAATGACTAAATTGTGCCAAGTTGACTACCAACCAATGACCGAAATCTGTCACTTTCACATGTTTCTATCAAATATTCATGACTACTTCGAAAGTAGGAAACATCAGTCAACCTCTGAGAGAATTTCGGGGAAGAAAGTAGTTATCAATGCATTTTCATAGATACATGTAAGCGATAAGTAATTATCACCAATTAGCCAAAAATCATCAACATTGTTATCTTCATCACAAAATTACAAATCTAACAGTGGTTTATTAATAATTAATTTACTCATGAAAACTTGACAAATTGCCTCCTTTGAATTGGCCGACCTACTAAAACCATCCATTGCCAAAACCCATACAGATAAATTATTAAGTGGACTAGAGTTCACCTACATTTTCATCTTCCCCCGAAAATAGCACAGGTTCAACATGAAGAGGATGTCAAAAGTACGTACCATCAATTCAGCAGAAGCCTTGTTGATAGTGACATGAAACCCATTCCACTTTCACTCAATTTGTTCCCAGCTATGTACCAGTGACAGCTTGCATGCAATTGTGCATAATAAAAACCATTGGGCTTTGATGCCCCCCCAAATGCTATTATCATTCCCAAATTAATTTCACTCCCATAATGTGAATGCATTTCCAGAATGTTTGCCTGTATGATTTTTAGGTCATTTTATTGGTAGAATGGGACCAACGGGGCTTAACGACGTGCATAGATCTGTAATCATTATGTGTTCATTCGTTTGCCTTGAATGACTCACATGTCCAAAATATGTATATTTGGAGTATGTGTGTTGCAATTCTGGAGAAAGTTGATGCATTCGTGGTAAATCAAAACGTAGTTGAGCTCTAGGAAGTGAATGTTACATTAATGCAATTTCCTGTATTATTTGCAATCAATTTGTGCAGTTGACGTAGGTTGACTTTTACGGGTTGTTCAGTTCAATTAGTATGTGACATGCAATCATAATAACAAATTCCCTTTATGCATGATACTGCCACATGTTCCTTCTTGAAATATGTCAAAAAGTTTTTTGTACATAATCAGGAACTTTTCTTCTCAAACTTCCACGTTGTTTGGTTATCAAATCCATATTGAATCGAGGTAATTCCTGTTATTGTCAAAATTGTGCACTAACACTTTCACACCATGAACAATGGATTAATAAAGGTTCCAAAGGTCGAAATCTGCATATAAGGAATATTTGTAAGACTTTGACAACAAATCTTCAGCATTCCAATTATTTCTGGAGAAAGTTTTATGTTTTCCGATTCTCAGAACTAATTTTTTATGTAGGAACATGACCCTACTCCCAATCTGTCAAATACATGCAAACCATGTAAATCCAATCTCATAAAAAATTAATTCGACATTATCAGATAAATTTTCGCACGAAATGACACGCACTCTAGAAGGTAAACTGAGAAACCAAATTAAAGTTCTTAAAGACGACCTGCTTTACATAATTCTGTATTCCGAGTAATACTAACCTAATTGAATCGGAAATAGGGAACGGACGATTATTAGTAAGCAATTCGCCTCGGAGACTAATGAAGGAAGAAGGACATTTCAATTACTCAATTTTTTATCATAAATAATTTCTAAATTAAAGATTCACTATCAGAATATGTAAGACTTGAGAAAGACGACAAATAAAAATGACTCCTGTGACTACTCGCCCTTTGGGTGAAAAAGAAAAAAAACGAAATTTGTATTCGATTCATTCCGAATCATTCTTAACTAAAATTATTAAAAGTTAATTAATTCTTTCGATACGATTAGTAGAAATGCCCAGCGGTGTAAAGTGGATGCTTGGGTGGTCTCCGTGCTGACATTGTTATTGCTCGTGTATTGCGTCCAATTATGCACATACTCCAGTTAATCCCGACTTAAATTCATAGTTTTTTGGTGCATTAACTTCTCATTCTGTTTACTTTGTTTCGCTAACAACTGATTTGTTGTGGCAAATAGTAGTTCATTCTGATTTGAGAGGATTTTTTGTAAACAGTTTAGTGTTATGAAGAGTATGAAAAAATTCAGCAAAACATTCAACTTCACATAAGCTGAGATTAATTATATGAGCGATTTACATAAGAATGTGAATTTAATATTTTTTACACATGCACGTGGTTTGCTATATACATACATTTATTATGTGTACATGTATGGACTTGGACGTTTTGTGCCCTATGTAATAAATATAAAATTGTCACTATCTAAAAAACTGCTACTTGTTGTACTGCACTGTCAATAATTTAGATTCGCCCTATCATGATCCCCTGCAATAGAATAAATGATTTATGGGTGTAGCTGAAAGGTATACGAAGGTAGGAAGGACACACAACCCAAAATTCCAACAAAATAATAATTAAGTTGATTGAATTGAATCCAAAGAGTCGTCGTCAGACTGGCGACAAAAATATTGTTCAATAAACAGCAATGATCATTTAATGCTCTTGTTTGCCGTTCACTCTTCGAATCATTCTACATGCCACCAAGAGCAATAATTGTGTAGTAATGTCCCTTTCACAGTTTGAAGGACTGAGGAGATGGGTTTGAATCAAAAGTTTTCCGAGTCATTTCCGATCCATCTCTGTGACCAAGTATTACGGGATATAAACGTTAATCTCAAACTAAGTCCTCTCCCTTCCAGAGAACACGTTTGAATTGTGCTCATCTAATTCAGAATTCCGGTAAGTGCTTTCCACAATAAAAGCAAATCAACCTTGATCTAGGCTGGTTGGAGTCGAGCAATATCTTTGTCCTTGCGGTTCTCCTTACTAAATAAATTTCTTTACAAGTCCATCATAAAAAGGGCTGTCTTTTGCACTTCATCTTTAAGCCATGATGTTGCCCCATCTTCTCCACCCTCCGGCAGGACACAAGGGCTCAGAATAAGCTAAATAGCTCAATATGGGATTAACAGAAAATAGGAGAGAATCGGGTTAGCTTTTAAGTTATTGGGCGAGTGAGCAGCAAGAAGCTAATGGGCAAATTGTGCTATTCTACTTTTTCACCTCCCAACAAATCTCTTTCGGCGTCTTCTTCATATTCAATGACGCCAAAAAAGAAAGAAATACGAGACTTATTGACTTTAGTGTTTACAATTTGGACACACAATGCCTCTGTCTTTCTGTCAAGGCGGACTTTGGTGATGATGCATGAATTGCAGCACTAAAATCAAAACAATTCTTAAGTCTGCCTGCTTCACCAATATTACTTTTGACTTTGATCTTGGTTCCAGACCCGCAGGCTCTGCTTATCTCCGTCCCTCATAACTGGTGACATTCATTTATTATTAAAAGCTAAAATTTAAAGGACTCGTCAAAACACTAAAAACTTTCGTGTCACCTTTCTCCTTATCATGTTTACTTGGGGATAGAGTTTGATAACTAATGCACGAGTCTTGTTGGTGTTAAATTAGTGTGATGCAAATTTAATATAAAAACTGCTGATAATTAAACCTCCTTTGTCTTGAAGGTAATACACCTGTAATTAATTTATCTTGCAATAGGAATATCTTGCAACAAAGTATGCCTTACAGTCTCTCTACGCATGTATGCTTTCCACCTCTTCTGTTCAGAGGGCAAGATGAGACTGTTAGCTGATCAGCCTAATTAGATGACAATTTAACACTTTAGATTTCTTATAATTAATCAATACTCGTATCGTGACTTGCAGTGGGTTCTCCTCACTCGACTCCTTTCATACGAAGCTTAAGATTGTTGATAGGTTTCCGACACTGATTTAAGGAGGAGGAACAGATGGAAAAAGGCCTTCAACCGACCTAATCTCGACAAGTATGTGTGGTGGTTGTAGAGAATTTCCCCATTATTATTATTTTTGTAGGTTACTTGATGTAGCAGCAGGTCCTATTCACCAAGCACCACCACGGACGGGGATGATGATAATGATGACCTTCGCCAAGCCCAGTTCCGCCACGAAGAGAATAAAAGGTTTTGTATTATTTGATATGATTTATGGGCCAGGAGGACTCCTTTTGCTTCTTTAAGTAGTTTCGGCTAGAGACCAAGAAGAAGAAGAAGAGTGAAATTGAAGAAGTCAAGTTGCTCAGCTTAGCTCAGTTCGGTAATCGAGGAAAAGTTAAGTAAGGCTGAGGAGTAAGTGGCAGTATGAGCATTAAGGGTGCAGTTTCATCTCCTCGGATTCCTTTAGCGTTTGGCAGATGGAATGTTCCTGTTTGCACACATAATAATAATAAAAATAATAACAGCACCTCAAAAATACTTTCTACCAGACCGGATTCATCCTTTGTACCATCAAACTCTGAAAATACCACAATTTTGAAACTATACACGCTTTATTTTTTGTAGCCCAGAATCTCTAATGAAAAATACCGTAATGTTCATCAATTCGTTTGCTGATTTTTACTGAAATTTTGTCTGTGTGCATAATTTTCTAAACTATCTACATGACTGGGTCAACTTCAAAAAGGCTGCTGCTGTCTGAGGTTAAGGCAGCAAAATGTCATGCCGAGCACCTGTTGCTCCGATGTTGTAGATAAGTCTAGAAATATGCGATGATTCTTGTTTACCTTTCCGGATTTTGGAAGAAAAAAAGCTTCAGTTTCAAGTTGACAGTGGAATATCGTTGATCTATCCTTCTAAACAAACAACGACTACTTACTTTCATGTTGATGGCAGTATCTATTCGTTGGATGGGTCAGCAGCGAATCTTCACCTTGGTGAGTCGCAAGGAGAGAGGAGAGTCGCAAGGCGAGGAGTCCCGGAGTTTAACAGCTTCTCTACTCACGCCTTTGTCTCACTATTTCTGTCATTTCATCCAAGTGCTCAAATTCCCTCCGAGTTAAAATAATTCAATAATCAA